CAACTTGATCTTGGGCTCGAATGAAAGCTCTTGACGAGACCTTTCATTTGTTGTATAGTAGTGTCTATTTTTGGTAATTTTTCAACGTATAAAAAAAAATCATTTTTTGATTTTTCAAGGCCAAAAAATTCAGTTTTTCTGGGTTTTCTCTAAAAGGGAACGCATGAATCATTACAAAAACCAATTTAAATGAAAGCCCTTGATTCAAGCTTTAAAACGAGCTATCGTTGAACCTGGGGAAATGAATGGTTCAAAAGTTATGACCCTTCAAAGTTGGCGTGGCGCGCTATTTTCGAAGCGCGCGGAGTGTATACTCGCGTGCCACCCCTCCCTACCTTTTCCCCTGGGGCCCGCTTCAGTTGATAACGGATACAGAAAGGTCCAAAGCTCCTTCCACCTAAAGAATGACCAATCATTAGTGTAAAATTACTTTTATTTCTAAAGAAAAAAGGGAAATAAAAATAAATTAAATGCTAATAAACGATAAGACACTGGCATACATTATTTTTTCGCCCTCCCCTCTATGATTTAATATTTAATAGCCAAATCAAGCTTCTTATACCGCAAAATACACTGAAAAGCTGTAGATTATATTCATACGGTGTGGTACGCAACTAGCCGACCAGCACTTGAAACACGCATTTACTACAGAATATCTTTCCCTCAACTCTCTCTGATCTATTTCCCTCTCATCAAGATTTACCTGCACGGGAATGATCAGATACCGTAATGATGAGAGGCTTGATTTGGCTATTAAATATTAAATCATGGAGGGGAGGGCGAAAAAATAATGTATGCCAGTGTCCTATCGTTTATTAGCATTTAATTTATTTTTATTTCCCTTTTTTCTTTAGAAATAAAAGTAATTTTACACTAATGATTGGTCATTCTTTAGGTGGAAGGAGCTTTGGACCTTTCTGTATCCGTTATCGACTGAAGCGGGCCCCAGGGGAAAAGGTAGGGAGGGGTGGCACGCGAGTATACACTCCGCGCGCTTCGAAAATAGCGCGCCACGCCAACTTTGAAGGGTCATTACTTTTGAACCATTCATTTCCCCAGGTTCAACGATAGCTCGTTTTAAAGCTTGAATCAAGGGCTTTCATTTAAATTGGTTTTTGTAATGATTCATGCGTTCCCTTTTAGAGAAAACCCAGAAAAACTGAATTTTTTGGCCTTGAAAAATCAAAAAATGATTTTTTTTTATACGTTGAAAAATTACCAAAAATAGACACTACTATACAACAAATGAAAGGTCTCGTCAAGAGCTTTCATTCGAGCCCAAGATCAAGTTGATCTGATGATTCGTTCAAAAGTTATGGCGGTCGGAGCGTTTGACCTTTGACCCCCTGCCCCCCTCCCCTTGTGGGGCTAGACGAGAAATGACACCGGATTTAGGCTTCTCTGATGATACGTTATGATTCCTGAAAGTATGGATGGGAATGCTCTTGCGGCCATTTTCTATGGAAAATGGGACAACCTCTTTAGTGATGTAGGTATGTTTTTGCTTGATTTAATTTGAGAAAGTATGTGCATATTTGTTATGTTAATGACACATAGTTCCACAAATTTAATTTATTCGAAATTTAATCAATTTAAAATCAAATTCATTGTTACTGCAAGGCTCTTGCGGCCATTTTCTACGGAAAATGGGACAACCTCTTTGGAAAATTATACCATTACTGAAGGTAAGTTTTTAGCTAAAATATTAATGAATGATTTGAATTGATAAGCATCTGAAGGAAGTTAAGTAGTATTAATAAATATTACAGCAAGAATGTATATAAAAAAATTAAGTGATGTTCTCATCATAATTTGACAGAATCTACGAGGGGGTTGGGCCGTGGAGGGGCCAGGGGGCAGAGCCCTCTAGTTTCTCTCATAAAATTACTGTTTAGGAGAGGTTGAATTGGCTTAAATTGCCACACCATGCAAAAACGGCCCTTACCCTGCATTTAAGGTATACTATTTTAAAACTGCCCTTTCCTAAAAATTTGACAGTAAACCTCTCCCTCTTTCTAAGAATAGGCATCACACTCACAAAAAAAAATTAGTTGCAAAGTAATTAATCTTTGAATGGTAGTGTTAGAAACCTTCAGACAGGTTTTCCTCAAAAAAAAGTTTTGGCATGAGAGCCTTTTTTGTATATAGTCCCTCAATGGTCATTTGCTATAATATATTAAATGAAATATAATTCTGTATTATATCAAAGTTATTTACTACGGTTTGGTAAGTTCACTTAACATAGACTGTGTGCTCTGTACTTCATTAACCCTTTCTACTCAGGTGTCGAGCAGGACTCGACAAAATTGATTCAGGGGTTTCGCTCAGGTGTCGAGCTGTGCTCGACAAAATTTCCATCTTCCTCATCGCTCGGAAACAGTGAAAATAATGGCCATGGAAGCCTGTGCTGCGCTCTCTGGTGACACTACGGAACTACTTGAGTAAAAATAAAGTAGTGAGTTCAAAATTTCGCCGCTAGGTGTCACCGGGGAGCCATCGCTCCCAAAAACCTTTAATTTCCGCCAAATTAAATCAGAGTTGGGGGCGGGTGACCTTAAACAAAATTTGAGTGGAAAGGGTTAACATGCAAATGGACGTTGAACTTGGTTGTGATTTCATACTATCTTAGACTCTCGACTATTTGTTAATTTCCATTAAATATACCGGATGTTCCAGAGCACCCGTCCACTATCTATTTCTAGGAACCGGCTGAACATTCAGCTTTGGGGTCAAAAAGTTATTGGACCTTAAAATTTCAAAAAATTTGAAATTTTTTAGTTTTTCTCCATTTAGAAAAAAATCTTTAAGTATAACAGGAAAATTGATAGGAAATAAAATTGGTCTCCTTGAAATTACCTTTCATTTAAAAAAAAGTTGATCAAAATCGGATCAATAGCAATCGAGGGACAGCGCTTTGAAAAAAACCAAAATGACGAACTTTAACGGCCGCCATCTTGCTCCAAATGCGGGTCTCACAGTGTTGCTCCTTCCAGAATTACTCCTGAGGGTACCACCAATGAGCCCTGGAAGCGGCATATTCCAATCAAAAATTGCAAGTTTTTTGCCATTTTTGGATCGTAGTCAACAAACTGTGTGCCTCTCTAGACCCTAACAAGCAACTTAAGCCAAAAATAGCTTGTATGGGAATTTTTTCCCCTAATTCGGGATATTTGATCTAATTTGACTGGACTAAATTTTGGATCAACGGGGGCCATGAGCAAATCAATAAAATGGTATTGATCTCTTTTCCCCGAACACTTTTAGATTTTGAAAATTGGATAATTTTAACGTAGACTGTTTGCCCAATAAATGCCCCAGAATGCCCTGTAACTTCACAAAAAGAAGGTCAGGGAAAAAATGCAGAGAACCAAAAGTTCTTATTTTAGGCTGTAGAATTTAAATCCGAAGTGAAAACATACCCTTCCTATTAGAAATATGTGAGAAACGGGGGCACCGGCACCCTCTTTAAAACGCTCCTAAAATGGGGTTTCGGGGTGCTGAAAATATTTTCATTGAATTCCACGGGGTTGATATACCCCTGAAAGTTTTCACCCCGAAGCTAAATGTTCAGCCGGTTCCTACAAATAGATAGTGGACGGGTGCTCTGGACATCCGGAATATTTAATGGAAATTAACGAATAGTCAAGAGTCTAAGATAGTATGAAATCACAACTAAGTTCAACGTCCATTTGCATGTTAATAAAGTACAGTGCGCACGGTCTATGTTAAAAGAACTTACCAAATTCGTAGCAAAGAACTTTCAACATCTATCACATATAGGAATAGTTTTTACGCATTTTAGAGCATACATCACTTAAAACAATAACCTCTGGAAAATGATATGGCCGATCTGCTGAAATGCTTAATCAGCTGATTAAGGCTTTTCATTAAGGGCCTCCCCCCCCCCCCCCGGAGGCCCATATGTGGCCCCCCTTGAATCTGGAACTCAATGCAGATTTTCCAAGTTTACTCGATGTGGTTTATGGAAATAATTATGATTTGGTCCATAGGCCGTTGGATACGTGTTAAACGGTTGCCTGAACATAGGTCTGTGTTTTCCTAGCACTCCGAGAATTTTTTGACACCAAGCACATCATCTAACTAAAACAAGCTTTTGATATGTTATCAAAGAGGCTTTAGGACACATTTTAAACCTGGTTTGGTTTTAGTTAAATGATGTGCTCATAGTTAAAAAACTTTTTCATAAGTCGACTTTTGAGGGACATCCGCAAAAATCTAAGGGAAACATGTCGTTAGGATTTTCTCTGGCCACAATTGAAGAAAATCTCCTTGTAGGAGTCTAACAAGGCTTGATAACTGCCCTTGATAATATATGTAGCGTGCATAGAGTTGGAAAGATGTGTTTCCCTCAGATTTTTATGGATGTCCATTAGCACATCATCTAACTAAAACCAAACCAGGGTTAAAATGTGCCCTAAAGCCTCTTGGATAACATATCAAAAGCTCGTTTTAGTTAGATGATGTGCTTAGTGTCAAAGAAGCCTCAGAGTGATAGAAAAACAACCATTATTAGCTGAAATGTGCCTACAGAGACAGACGTATGTTCAGGCAACCGTTTAACACGTATCCATGGGCCTATGGACCAAATCATGCTTATTTCCGTAAACTGCATTGAGTCAACTTGGAAAACCCCCATAAATTTCCAGATTCTGGGGGGGGGGGCCCAAAAAAGGACCTTATTGATACCTCTCCTTTTCACAATTTCAAATATCGTGTTTTTCCTTCATTTCCCTACAATTGTCAAAGTAAACAAAAGGCAAAACTTAGTGATAAAACAATTTAGGCTGTCAAAACTTAAAATTTATGATCATCAAAGTCATTGTAAAAGATCCCAACATTTCCGGAATTTTCGGGGTTTTCCTCAAACGGTCGGTGTTTTTTGTAGTTTTTGCATGCCATATGAAATTCCTTGCTGGCTTATTCACTAAAAATCCTGATTCAAATAACGACCATCAGGAAATATTTATAAATCAGCTAACCTGCTGTGAAGAGTTGGTTGCCACAACAAATTGATTTTGAGAAGTGAATACTTGATTACCACTCACTACCACTGAGTTGGTAGACTGCACTGTGCTGTTTACTTTTGGAGAGATTGGAGCTCCTTGAGATTTGATCACCATTGTTTGCTAAAAAAAATTAACACCGTTGTAAAGTATTTTTGAGACCTTGTGTCATATTAAAGAATTGCTAGGTTAGATGAGGCATTAATGCCTCCAGATCCAATACTTCCAGCAAGAAAGCACAATACAAAAACGTCATTTTTTTACCACTTCCACAAGAGTTTCATAATCTCTTGTCTATCACATACTTTTACTTAATACATTTTCCCCCGTACTTTCCAACCTCCAGGAAATCTTTTTTTTTTTTTGGGAGAGATGGGGATGCACTCGTGGGACGAAAGTCGAAAGCTTTGTACCTCAATACCTCCCCAACTGAGAAAGATATCGAGGTCCATACAGGACAATTGATTTTTTTCATCACATCAAAGTCAACGATATGGATTGCATTTTGCAAAAAGGAACCAAGAGCATTCCAATGTTGCTAGGATTGTGCAACTTGCATTCTTTGCAACACAATTACTGGAATCATGCAAAAATTAAATTTACAAACGTAATTTTCGTCATGAATTTATAGATTATTGAGAGTAAAGATTAATCTTCTTTAGATAATCAGTTCATATTTGCAAGGTAAACAAAATTGCACAATCTTAGCGACATTGGAATGCTCTTGGTTCCTTTTCACAAAATGCAATCCATATGTAAGACACTACATAGAATAGACCAATTTAAATGAAGATGAAACAAACACCATTTTACAGCAAAGCGAACTTTAATACTAAATCCAGATGCTAGGTTTGGAGGTAACAGCTGCTAGGAGCTAAACGGCAGGTAATGTCAGACAATATTTGACAAAAACCGCATTTCAATTCCATTTCCTATAAGGGACATGTTAAGGTACAAAGGTTGCGGATTTCACTCTTCTTTAAGCCAAAAAAAATTATTTTTGGATGGTCGCGAAAATTCGGGCAAAAAGGGATTCAAGTAAGAGTAATTGATTGAAGAAGGTTGAAGGAAATCAGGGCGAAGAATTATATTTTTCACTGTGCTTTTCATCAGCCTTATTCAGCTCTTGCCTGCTTAAAATTACCAGACACACGTAACCTTCTACATTAAGTAAAAAAAGTTTCTCTTTCTATTTCAATTTTAGACTTGTGCATGTTTACTCTTAGTATGAGATGTTCTAATCAATAAGAATTAACAAGTGGATTTTCTAAAACCTATCAAGATATTTACAGACACTGACTAAGTTGTTTCTAACATTTGATGAACCAATCGTTTACCTGTTGAGGGGACGTCACAACTGCTGCAGTTGTTGTTGCTATTCTAGTGAGCGCAACACGTGAAGGCGTGATTGCATTGGGCTGTGCAGTAGCTATTGTTTGCGTATTGAGAACGTGTAGTTTCCCGTCAGGCATTTGCACCAGTTGTTGACCTGGAGAGTAAACCAGAAAAGTTATACTGTTACATATAAATATAAACCATGAATAACAGGAGAAAAAGAACATATAGCTAATCTACCACTTTCAATCAAAGGTGCAAAGCTGTTCGCCAGGCCAGTCGATGGCCTGGTAGTCATGAGCCTTGATTTTGATGTATCAGGCAAATAAGAAGAGGCTGTAAATGTTGACTTTTCTGCAGACGCCGCAGGAACTTGTTGAAGATGATAACACACAAGGTGACCCAAGTCTTCTCACCAACCCTCACATGAGCATACAAATAAACCCAGCAAATCAAAAGTTGGACGAGCTAAAAGAACATTTCATTAGCTTTACAGCTCCTTACCTTAACCTTTCAAGCTCGTTTAGCTGAACATTTACTGTGTTTTGGTGATTTCTATGTAACCCCTGCAAAAATTTAATTTACTAGGGATCTACGCGGTCCAACCCCCTGAAGGCACTTTGCAGCCTTTTTCTGTAGCCGCAGCATTAATAAAATTCATATTTTCATGATAAAATTCGTATTTTCATGATAAAGTTCATATTTTCATGATAAAATTCATATTATCATGATAAAGATTAACAAATCTGGGCAAAACTTTCGTGACAGAAGTAGTGAGAGCCTAATAGACTATCGATGCTGTCTAATTTTTCTTTATTTTTATTTATTTTATTTATTCATTTATATTTTTTTTTTGGAATTTCTTTCGTTCGTTCGAGTTTTATCTTTGCATCTTTCTCTTTTAGCTACATATCAATGTTGGTTTTATTTTTCCCCCCAAATACAGGATATGAGGTATATTTTCCTTTTACGAACGAAATGATTTTTGTTTTTGGTGGGAAAGAAGAAAAAATTTTAAGTCTAAAGGATGCGTTTAGCAATGATTGATTGATGAGTCATGGCAGTAAAACAAATAAAGATGATTTACAGATCGTAATAAACAAGTGTTAATGACAGGATACGATCCTACATTACGGGACGGCACAGAGGTGACATGGCAAGTGAGGTATCATTTCTTCTGTAATTTTGGTCGTAGATTTCATTTATGAAGTCGTGAAAGCCCTCCTGTCAAAGAGGGTACCCCGAATCGACGATGGCGGCCAAATGTGAAAGCAGGAAGGTGAGCCAAAAAAACAACAATCACGTTAGAAGGCAGGTTGGCTATCAAATTCTTTGTATTTTTAGTCAAGGAGTCTGAATGAAATTTTAAAAATTAATTTTACACGAAAATGAGACGTGACATGCAAGGCGGTGACCATCATAGTCGAGAAATCATAAGTGGTAGGTAAGGTGTCTCGCTGATTAGTGCGCAATAACTCAGAATTTAAGTTCAGATGTCTTAGACAGTGAGGATGAAAAATCTGAAACACCTGCTGTAAGCACCGGGATAAAGAAGTAAAAGTTCAGTACGTTTTAGATGGTGGGTCTTCACTCCACCGAGGGCCATGGAAAAGAGGGCAAACCTATATTATTTGGATTCATTAATTCAATTTATCGTACAGTTCTACACTAAATTCTTTTTTCTAAGTTATCTGTAGCCACGGCAGTATTTGACGGGTGCCAAGGAAATGGACCATTTATTAAAGACTCCACTCGCCATATAAGAAGCCAACAATTCAGATACGCGCCTACTGTCAATTTCTCACCAAATCCATCTTCTGTTGGTAATAGAGGGTTCCCAGCCAATTTTGGAAAAAAAAATCCCTGACTTTTCCAGGTTTTCCAGGCCAAAATGAAAATTTTTCCAGGCCTTTTTCCGTGGAAAAAACTCGAATAATTTGCCCTAAAAGAGACAGCGCGCGCGCGCATTTTTCGGTTTTTGTAAAAACTCTTCTATTTTCATCAATTTTTGATCAAAGAGGTAAATTTTGACAAATACAGTCACTAAAAGTAAACTTATCCAAATCATCGGCACACGCCTCGAATCCTTCAGTTGTAAGGTCGTGCATGTGAAATACATATAAGATGCAGCTCTTGATATCGTCAAAGAGGGTGATGCACCTTGTACATAAGAAAACTGAAACGATTATTGTGAACGGAAACGATTCGAACCTATTCGTTTTTTTTTTTTAAAATAAATATCCGAGGACATCAATTTTTCAATCAATTGGAGTGCTTTGATAAAAATGTCAACAAAATTTATCCTATAACAAGCAACTTGCCTCCAGTCCGAAATCACTGCATAAAACTATTCGGTAAAATTGTAAAAAAAAAAGGTGCGGTACACCATGCAGTATGAAAGTGAAAATTTCAGAAAATGAACTTATGCTGCACGGACTTACGTATAAATTAAGAAGACTTCATTAACGTGAAGACACCCCAGGAAGAAGATCCTGACGATCCTAACTCAGACTATGAATCAGCATGTGCTGATTCAGATTTTCTCCCATATTGATCAGAGTTCGTAGGTCACGTTTAATATCCTTATTTTAATTGGGAATGTATGTGCTTCAAAATTAACAAAAATAACTCGTAGGTGCTCCTTTTCACATCTTTTCATACCCTGGACAGCCTTGATGGTCACCGTCTTGCATGTCACGTCTCATTTTCGTGTAAAATTAATTTTTAAAATTTCATTCAGACTCCTTGACTAAAAATACAAAGAATTTGATAGCCAACCTGCCTTCTAACGTGATTGTTGTTTTTTTGGCTCACCTTCCTGCTTTCACATTTGGCCGCCATCGTCGATTCGGGGCACCCTCTTTGACAGGAGGGCTTTCACGACTTCATAAATGAAATCTACGACCAAAATTACATAAGAAATGATACCTCACTTGCCATGTCACGTAAACATTTCAAAAATCCACCCTCCTGTCTTTCAAATTTAGCCGCCATCTTGAAATTTGGAGCACCCCCTTTGACCGGAGGGCTTTTATGACTCCATAAATGAAATTTACGACCAAAATTACATAGGGAATGATACCTCACATGAACCTATATGAGCATTTTAAAAATTCACCCTCCTGCCTTTCAAAATTGGCCGCCATCTTGGATTTGGGGCACCCCCTTTGACCGGAGAACTTTTTTGACCTCATATCTGAATTCTACAACCAAAATTACATAGGGATTGATACCTCACATGACACTATATGCGCATTCTAAAAAACCGAAATCCCAGAGGCCTTATCATGGCCACCATTTTGAATTTTCGTCATTTTGGGGGGGGGTGTTCCGGGGCCGTACCGTGGTAAACTTTTGGTATGTTGTTCAGGAGGACCTACTGATGACGTTTACATAGGAAAAGTCTGTTAGGAAATTTGTTCCGGGTTAACCCCCTTTTTTTCGTATTTCTCCTTAACTATTTCCAAAATCTGATTAGAGCTGGCTCATCTAGGATCTATTACCTGTCGATACTCGCAAAAATCATGGAAATTGGCCCAGTAGAACGCTCAAAGGAACTATGACAAAAAATATTAATTTACATTGTTTAAATGGGAGAATTCGCTACTTTTCCACGTAATATGAAAAAACCTGGATCATATTTTGAAAATCTGAATAGAGCGGGCTCATCTAAAGATAATTACCCGTCGATAGCCGGAAAAATCATGAAAATCGGCCTAGTAGAACGCTGGAACTAAGCATTACCAGTTATGTAAAATTAGAAGGTCTCAGAACTTATAGTAAAGATACCAAACTTTAAGAACATTTTTGGAACGAAGAAAGAAATGATAAGAAAATGAATGAAAAATATTTTGTGTAACTTTTTCTGATGTTGATAAATTTTGGAGAAGAATCGTCCTGTAGAGCTAAAAATTTAATAAATCGCCACGTCTGAGATTCAAGAGTGTGGAGCATAACTTTCATATTGACGTACTATCGACGAAGTTAGTTTCTTGCAGAGTCTCTGGTAACTACCTAGCAACAGCGCGGTGCTAAAAAGGAGCATTTTTGGGAAATTTTGTCCGATTGAATTACGATAAACCAATATCGTAACCGATATCGATATTCTGAAGAAAGTACCTTATTCAAAATCCGCCAATTCCAACCTCCGCCTGATCTTCTCGTTTCTCTAGGATGGACTTATATTTATAAAAAACTCAAATGGTACGCTTTTATGAGCATTTCTTCTTTTTTTTCTTATTTCCACACAGAGAACCGTCAAAGGTATACATAAATATTTTTTTGATCGAAAACTTTGATTCCCCTATATCCATTGCATATTACACAGTTCAAAAAAAAAAAAGGACAAAAACGTTTCCCAAACAAGATAAGGTGATTCTTATGTAAGGCTCTTTTAACAGTCAAAAAATACTTATTTAAATTCGAAACGGATTTGAATCCGCGGATAAACGCGCAAAAACGGCCTTTTCTTTTAGCGTGAAGGAGGGATGTGCACTGCGCACCTTGTAAATATGATCTGATGTCTTTCAGAGTTCCACTGGAAGTCGATGTTTCCAAACACACAAACTGTGTTCAAATTGTTCGAAGGTAAGTGTGCGAAAAATCGCGATTTTTGGTGATTAAGGAGGGGGGGGAAGGTGACACTAGGGTGGATCGAAATTTTCGACTTAGAGAGCGGAAAGGCGTATTATCGCAAAAAAGGCCCTATATGAAGTACAGAAAAGTTCGCCGCATAAATTTGACCCCTTCATACCGCAGATAGGCCAATATTTTTTAAACATCATACTAAAGATTCAAATACGGGTTTCTTTGAAGATTTTCGAAAATTGATGCTCTTGAGGGCGTACTTCGTCCGTTTTGACGTGTTGTGAACGCATAAAGCACAATAGAGAATTTGCAGGTGTCTGAAAGTTTGTGAATTTCATTTATAAAATGATACTACTGGAAAAACTGAGCACAAGGATATCCTCGGTTTCTAAATTGGACAATGGAGGATTTGCATGCAAACTCTTTATTGCTTCACCTGAGAGTGCTTAAAGAGCTGATTACGCAGTATTTTTTATAATTTTTTTCTGGTATGGGAAATAGTATAAAAATTGATTTAAAAGTGAGGAAACGCACTGCCTGGTGACGTCATCTGGCGGCATTTCCTATTTAAACACATGTGTTTTAGCAGATTAGATCATTTTGTCATATCTTCTCCAATAATTGTTCAATTCATGAACCAAGGGAATCCTCGTCTTCAGTCCACTCAGTAGTTTCCACTTAAACACGAAATTCATCAAATTTCAGACACCTGCAAATTCTCTATGATTGGAGATAATATGAGCAAATAGAGAAAATATGAGCAAATAATCTTATCTGCTAAAATCCGTGCGTTTAAATGGGAAATGCTGCCAGATGACGTCATAAAGCGGCACATTTTCTCACTTTTAAATCCATTTTTCTCAAAGAAACGTATGCAAAAACGACATTTTTCGCCCCCCCACTAAAACTTATTCAAACTTCGTCTATCAGTTACTAATACTGGAGCGCTTCTTTCCCCAAATTTTCAGACCCCCAAAAAATTTTGGGGGGGCGCTAGGGGGGGTGGAAGTCAAAACCTGTGACCCTCGATATCTTTCGAACGAAACAAGATATTGAGGCCCGGTTTGGACAAAAAATCGTCAAAAATTGCATACTTTGAGATTCTAAAGGTCAAAATCCCAAAATTAAATTTTTAACTTAATTTATGTGCTTTTTTTCAGTTTTTGAGGAAAAACAATTTTTTTTAAACAGATTAAACTGAAATTTCACATTTTTTGATTTAAACCAAAACCAGTTTTTTAAATTGTTCGTCTGTTTCCGCATCCAACGAGTGGTCGTATAAGCTGGGGAACCGAACGGTTCCGGAGTTATGATCGATTGAAGTTTCCGCTCAACGCGCGCCGACCGACTTTCGCGCGCAAAAAAGTCGGATTTGACTATTATTAAATCAGATTTAATGTTCAAACTGAGCAAAATGCATTATTAGGGACCCTTGAGGGTTGCTGAGTCCAGGAATTACAGATACTTCCAAAAAATTCACGTTTTTAAAATTACAGCTCCGGACAGGACCACTGAGCGGCCGGTCGGCGCTCAGTGGGCCTCTAAAATAGCGATACGGAGCTGTAATTTTAAAAACGTGAATTTTTTGGAAGTATCTGTACTTTCTGCACTCAGCGACCCTCAAGAGTCCCTAATAATGCATTTTGCTCAGTTTGAACATTAAATCTAATTTAATAACAGTCAAATCCGACTTTTTTGCGCGCGAAAGTCGGTCGGCGTGCGTTGAGCGGAAACTTCAATCGATCATAACTCCGGAACCGTTCGGTTCCCCAGCTTATACGACCACTCGTTGGATGCGGAAAAAGACGAACAATTTAAAAAACTGGTTTTGGTTTAAATCAAAAAATGTGAAATTTCAGTTTAATCTGTTTAAAAAAAATTGTTTTTCCTCAAAAACTGAAAAAAAGCACATAAGTTAAGTTAAAAATTTAATTTTGGGATTTTGACCTTTAGAATCTTAAAGTATGCAATTTTTGACGATTTTACGTCCAAACCGGGCCTCAATATCTTGTTTCGTTCGAAAGATATCGAGGGTCACAGGTTTTGACTTCCACCCCCCCTAGCGCCCCCCCAAAATTTTTTGGGGGTCTGAAAATTTGGGGAAAGAAGCGCTCCAGTATTAGTAACTGATAGACGAAGTTTGAATAAGTTTTAGTGGGGAGGGCGAAAAATGTCGTTTTTGCATACGGCTCTTTCCCATGTCAGAAAAAAATTACGAACGATATTGCGAACTCAGCTTATAAGGCACTCTCAGATGAAGCAATACAATTTTTGTGTGCAAATCCTTCATTGACCTGTATTCAAATCATAAATAGCCAGAAATACCTCCCAGAATGACGCATCTACATTAATGTCATAGAAAGGAGTGAGGATAGTCAATTCCAGTAGATTTTGAGGAATTACGGCCCCATGATCCAATATATCGTTCGTTTTGCAGTATTTTCAACTGTTGCTCAGCGAATATACGGAGACGGCGCTCGAGAGTTGCGCGGCGAGTCCACTCGGTGCCCGCTTTGAGCTTTTGGGGTCGGCCGTGGGAAACCTGACGCGACGCGCGGCGGTAACTTGCCGGCAATGGTTCCCCGACCACCGCCGACTAGCGCACCGGTGCAAAATATCCGACAATTTCCGTATGGACTCCCAATCAGATATGAGATACTTTAACCAGGGTTAGCAGTGGCAATCCTGAAAAAAAAAAAACCTGGGAGATCTTTGGCAATTTTTAAATTGATGCTAACGGCATCCAAGATTTGGACTGTGGCTCTTTAGAACTGACCCCAAACAATGCATCAACGTCTCTACTAAAGAAGGATTTAGAAATCTGTTGGTTATCATCATGGGAAGTTACCGAGTACCATTCAAATTAATGTGTCATTAAGTTCGTAGGGATAGCTTAATTCCATCAGTCACTCGCAATGCATCAATGAAATTCGGACGAGCATGGTCATATTATAATTTCGATAAAAATGTAAGAAAATCTGTCATTTTGTCCTGAAATTTAGAACAAAAAGTCCTGTCTTTTAAAGGTCGAATAAAAGATTCATCTTAAAATCTACAGTGATTGTGTTTTGGGTTCGCCTCTGCACCCTTTTGATTTGTCAATTGAAACCTAACTGACTTGTTTGCAAACGTTCACTTCACAAAAAGTAGCAACTGATCTATCGCCACAGGTATTTTTATAAAAGTGATACAGACAAAATATACGTTCAACAGTTAGAAATGATTTTAGGCAAAAAAAAAATACAGATAATAAATTGTAACTATTCAATTTTCAAAACTAACCTGGCATTAGCCCTTTGACTTGAATTTTGCCATCTGGTCCTTTGGTGATTTGCACCCTCTGTTGCGGTTGTGGTGTAGGTTGCACTTTAATAAAAGACTGTACATTGGTAGTAGGTGTGCTTGATCCCACAATACTTGACTTGGATAACACATTGGGAGCAGAAATAACTCGTGCTTTCCCATCAGCGCCTGGAGTTTATCAATAATAATATTAAGCTCATTAGATGAACATAACATATATTTCACATCAATTCAATTTTACCACTTTCCAAGAACACTCTCAACTTCTTATTTACCTAAAACTAGTAGAGTGGTGTAACCTAAAATCTAGAGGAAGTGGTTGTCAGAGTCAGGGTTTTGGAAAACTACTGTCAGCAAAAATTTCATACTCATCCTTTCAACCACCCCTCCCTAGGGTGCAGCCTTTTTTTTGATAAATAACGTTCAAGTTAGCCCCGAGCTTAATTTATGCTATGGGGTCAAGAAAATAACCTCTTCATAGGGGGGAAAATGGAAAATTTTTCACCTGGTTCGCAACGCCCGAAAAGGCAAGAGTTACAATTTTGACTTTTTGGTAATGGTATGTATCAGTTTAATGTAAAATTGACGACTTGCGGCCACTAAGAGACGGAAATTTCAAGCATTTCGATGAACGTATCTGTTAGTGTTGAGCCAGAAAAGCCCTCGGAAAAGCGTATACGACGCACAGTGCGGCCCTTTGTGGACGAAAATCAAAAATTCACAACTCAACTTCAGAACATTTCTTTAAAGTTTGCCATCGTAAAGATATTTCTGACTCACAATGATGGTTCATTTTTAAAATTTTTCGCTCAAAACTACTTCAAATGTGAGTAGAAAGTGGGCAGGAAATGGGTCGAGAATCACTGATGCATAAGAAATACACAGGAAAAAGACATCAACTTCAAATGAAGATTTCTCGCTTGAAACGCAAAATGCTCTGGGTGGTTGATATTTTCTTAATCCTTAGATACCCAACTTAAATTCTACCAAAAAGATCTTGCGAATTTTGAGACTATCAGAGATATCTGAAGTTAAAGTGTAGGTGTTTCACATTGCTTTTACATTGTTACCATAGGGCTGATTCAAGGTTGACAACCTTAAATAAACTTTTCTCGAAAATTATGCAACAGATTCGGTTATAAGATATTTTCTTATTCCTCCAGTGTTTTACTTTGATAGTGCTAGAGTCCCTTTATACCCAGAGTTAAGACAACTCGATTATCAGCTGACTGGCAGCCGGCCTCGGCTGGCCATGGAAGCCGAAACGAGTGCACCCAAACAAACGATATTGAGGGATAAGGATCAGGAATCCTGTGATGTCTGTCACACAAAAACAACAACATCAACAAAGTGATCAATTAAAAAGAAAATGAAATTGGTTTGTGAATAATTTCTTAATCTGTTTTCATTTTGGACCTATGGAAATAACAATTTACTCTTGATAAACCACAATTAGGTAATATTTTCATTATTCTTGTTCACATTCGAGGTACCGCCATCTTGGTGCACTCGTTTCGGCCTCCATGAGCGAGAACTAATCAGAATTGGATTTTTTTTAGGCCACTTTCAGCCCAACCCTGGCCCAACCAAAAGTGAGTTGTCTTAACTCTGGGTATAAAGGGACTCTAGATAGTGCCAAAGAGTTTTCCTATGTCAGTGCTACTATCTTCATTATTTGAAGTTAAGTGTCTTTTGCCGATTTTTGTCTGTATCGTCCATAAGGATGCCGCACTGTGCGACGCGCCGCGCAGGTGAAGTGGGCGTCTCACAACGTGCAGACCCCACCAACCTCTCTCCCTTCAATGTATTCCTCCATTCTGCGTAACACCGTTGGGCTGCGGCAGGCTAATCATGAAAATATTGAACTGGAAGAAAAAAAAATCACAATTACACGAGAGACAAAAAAAACTATATGCTCTGTGAAAGTTATGGGGTCATAGAAAACCTTACGTAGTTGTGCTTAAAATATAATTTCAAATTAGTGCTTCACAGGTTAAAAAAATATCACATATACAGTGGTGCGAAAAGAGATTCTCAAGTTACACCCTGTCAAACAATATTACACAGAATAAAATGAAACTAGCATATGCTAGTCTTTGACGTAGAGTGAGCGATTAAGATGTGGTTTGCAACGTTAATGGAGGAAATGAGACAAGCAAGATTTTAGATGTAGTTCTTCCAAATGATTTGCGAAAATTTTATAAGACCCATAAATATAGTTACTTTACTTCGAAATTTTTCGGAGACTTGTACCGGATTTTGGTGATTTTCCTCATTATAAGTGATCTTAATGTCTGCAACCCACTAAGCACTAATTTGAAATTATATTTTAAGCACAACTACTTAAGGTTTTCTATGACCCTATAACTTTTACAGAGCATGTAGTTTTTGTCATCTCTCATGTAATTGTAATTTTTTTTCTTCCAGTTCAACATTTTCATGATTAGCCTGCCGCGGTCCTTCGGTGTTACACAGAATGGAGGAGTGCAATGAGGGGACAACACATCAATATCTTAATTTTTGACCGAGTTATGATAGGTCAAAGGTCAAAATTGACCTATTTTCAAAAAATCATAACTCCGGCTCAAATTATCGTACATAAATAATAAAAAAATTTAGCAAATTCTAAGCAGTTTTAAGTAAAAATCACAGAAATCACCTCAAACTAATTTTAAAGGGGGGTTCGGACCCCAAAATACGTCAGTTTAAAAGGTCATACGATTTTCCCGCTAAATGAGCCAATTTTTCCTAACTTTGCCTCCGCTTATCTCGGTAAGTTCAAACTTAGTTCAACATGGCCTTTTCAAGCCCCCATATTTCAAGCAGAAGTTTAAAAAAAACAACGAAAATTTAAACGGTCAAATTTAATCACCTTGACTATCGTTTTTTTTAACTTTTGCTGGAAATAAAAGGGGCTTGAAAACGCAATGTTGAACTACGTTTGAACTTACCGAGATGAGTGGAGGCAAAGTTAGGGAAAATTGGCTCATTTAGCGGGAAAATCGTATGACCTTTGAACCGACATATTTCGTGGTCTGAACCCCCCCTTAAAATTAGTTTGAGGTGATTTCTGTGATTTTCACTTAGAAGTGCTTACAGTTTGCTAAATTTTCCCATTTATGTTTTTTCTCTACCATAATTTGAGCCGGAATTATGATTTTTTTTGAAAATAGGTCTAATTTGACCTTAGACCTATCATAACTCGGTCAAAAATTAAGATATTGATGTGTGGTTTGCGCCAAAATTCTTAGTTTTTGATGCTCTTTCTAACAATGTATCACAAGATAGGGGTTACCATTTGAAAAAAACAAGTTCCCCCCCTGAGGATGGGGCGAACATTTTGACCCTCCCCCTAGAATATGGTCCCCTTTGTGATAGAAACATCCCCAAAGTTTCGTTTTCCTATCTATAACCGTTCAAAAATTATCAGGAGGTGGGTGGTTACGGACTTTAGGGACACCCTGTATAGGTACTCTAGTTACAAGATTGAATCCCATCGCATCATTAGTTTTTTAATTCTTAGATTATGTTCTTTGATTTTTAAAGGTTTCCAGATCTTTCTTCCCCCTGGTATTTTTTACTTTAAGGGACTTACAAACTTTTAAATGTGAGTTTGAGGATACATGAGCAGCTTTAAGAATACATGTGAGACTTTCAGATGGCACTTCAGACTTGAGTTATATCCACGGGCACATAAGGATAGGTTAGATTGGGAGTTAATTTTAAATTTTCACAAGTTTTCTCTTTGTACTGTACATAAATATGCTCAATCTCTCAGGGGGAAAAAATGAATAAATGAAGCATTCTAAACATTTAATCATGAATAGGATAAATACCATTCATTGTATTCCCGGCTCACCTACAATAGAAATAGGAAGAGAGCATTGAAAATTAAATTAAAGGACCCTTGTAAACCAATAAAATCGAAGGGGCAGTTTACGTGCACTTTGGTCCATTTGTTCTGTATCCTTCAGACGTTATTGCAGGAGATAAACAATTGAACATATGTATGCTTGAGAGAACTATGGAAAAATTAATAAAATCAAAATGAACTATGTAGCATGCAAGTCCTGGACATTTAATTCCATTCAGCATAAATATGTCCAATAATTCTGGTTTAGACAGCACCCACTGAGCACACCTGTAAAATACCTACACTTTATACATACACTTCAAGGGTCATCCTCAAAGGCTCACGGAGGTTAACTATATCAGTTCGGACAGCACCTGTTAGGCGCACTCCTGTGTGCGCAGCAGAAGCTTCGTTGCTTCAAGCGATGAAACCACTGCTAGGAACTACCTACTTGGGACCAGACAGGCCTTAGAGCTCTATTGCTGCGCGACAGAATTCCAAACTCATTTAGACATCCGAACTATTTAATTACGTTAAATAGATCATTGGCATTGTTTGCAAAGATGACCAAAATCCTTCATCATCGGGGTTCAGGCTGATGGTCCTTTTGATTGCTAACAATGGTTTCATTTTTTGCCGGTTAGTCATTTTTTGAGATTGCGAAGATGAGAGCTGGCAAAATCTCCGTTTGCAATGGCTTTTTATTTTTCATTTTGTATAAAATATAATTGATTACATTCATTTTTATCCTGTTGAATCCAAGGTTTTCGAAGATTTTTAGGGAAAATAAAGTAAACTTATATTTAACATGGAAGAAATGCCAATTTCAAAAATTTAAAAAAAAACAAGGAGGGTTGTGTGGATTATTTCGTCAATAATCATGATCATAGAGGTATAAACTTACTTTTTGTCATAAATATTCGACGTGTGCCAACAAAGGGTTTGCTGGGTGTTGAAGTAACCACATTGGAATTATTTGTAAGAAGTGAGGTCAATGTAGTCTTCCCAGGTATTGATACTGGTGGTATTGCTACTTTGGTTACTAGTTTCACTTTGCCATCAGTTGCTGGAGTGTTGCCTGAAGCAGGTAAAATAAACTTTTGAATACCTGATGTATGAACTACAGGGGCAAATTAAGCCATTAGACTGGAAAAATCTCATTGTCAGACACACTGAGGAAAATTGTTTAGACATTCCAAACGTGATTCTGTGGGTGCTAGCCGCTTTTGATTCTGAAAGTGAGCTTGGTTTTTCTGTCACAACAATTTTTCAAAAAAGTGAATTTTCCTGGACAAGTCTATTTCCTTGAGGAGAATCTCGATTTACCGAAAAATTGGATCTTCGGAATCTTCAAAAGTAAGAATGACTAAAGACACTAATACCAAAAAAGTTAACAAAAATCCCAAGTTTTCAGCATTCACTATTTGTCATATCATAATGTACATTGCCTCAGATTAAGGAAAATTTTTCGAATGTTAAGAAAATTCCGATATCTGAGAAAAACCAATAATAAATAATATAAATAAATTACGGGGGAAAATTTGAAAAAAAAGCAAGTTCTTCATAACACGCTGAGAACAAATAGCTGAGCACTCTAGGTTTTCAGAGGCGCCATGTTCTTCAGATGTGCCCAACATTTTCAGTGGAAGTAGTTTTTGCCTACTTTTACTACTTCAAGCCCAAAAGTTCAATACATATCAACATAAGACCAGTAATGTGAAAATGATTCTTGCCCAGCACCAAACACCCAGTTGTAGCGCTGGTGCATAGCTTTCAAAATCTTACATGTATCTAATGGCAAGGTTGCTGCACTGCAAGAGACATCGAAAGTCAGTCATTGGCAGATAATGTGTTCATGAAAATAAGAGTAACAAGGATCAGTCCTTAAACTCACCACGAGGTGTTTTGGGCATAATTTTTATGACTTGCTGAGGGGTGGAGACATTATTGACTGGTTTGACAGCTAATGGCTCCAGGGAGACTCTTTTCTGTACATGCTGCGCTCGTTGCAGTTTCAGTTGATTTTCTAACTTCTCTTTCATTTCCTCTGGGTTGACTTTGATTGATTGGACATTTTCAATCTTAGGAGCAGTTATAGCAGGTCTGGCTCTTTGGAGAGCAGCTTGCGTCTGGGCTGCCTTTTCCATTTGTGCCTGTTTCTCCATCCTGCAAAAGCGTTTAATGTTTATTATTCACATAATATACCATTTTAAAAATGCATATATTAATTATAGTCATTTTCAGGGTGTCTAGCGATTAAAAAAAAAAATTCCTTGACAAAAACGGGGGGGGGGGGGGGNGGGAGAAAATTTAAAATTCCCTGACCTAAATGAAAAATATTCCAAATTTTTCGACACAGTTGAACTGATAAGACACAAGTAAGAATTTTTCATGTTTAAGGAATATAATGTAACTACGGGGTAGCCCCCTGGCCGCTACGCGGACCAACCCCCTGAAGGCGCGCCGCTTCACTGAGGGGACCCCTCGCGGCCCTTTTTTTAGCTGCATATCAGTGTTGGTTCTTTTTCCCTAAAAAATTACGATATGAGGTAAGTATATTGTATACTAGCTGTAAGCGAGCTGTCACGCCTTGCCGGGGAGTGCCTCTGGACCCCCAGTTCCTCCCTTCGCGATGAACTTGCAACTCGCTCCGTGAGTCGCCCCTTATTAACTTTTAAAATAATAATAATAAGATAACATCTTCGCCACTTTGGTCACGACCGCCATCTTGGAATTAGGAATTTTGAAAATCTGACCAAAAATTCGAGTTTCCCGTCGAAAAGCACCCCTTAGCACCATTGTTCACAAAAATCCGTCGAAAAATCCCCCTGAAACCTGAAATTTTGTCTATAATGCTGTGACGTCACACAACAAGATCGAAACTGTTCGGTGCGGTGCGCGTGAACAACCTCGTATCCCCAATGCATTAGTATAGGGAGAAACAACTTTTCTCTTTCTTAGGCTTTAGCGGCAATTTCTTCTGAGGTTGATTTTTCTGATGTGTAAAGATGGTTCTCGGCTTCATTCTCGCCAAGTTTGAAAGAAATCGCTCTGACAATTTTTTTGTAAAGTGTGGATGAAATCTTAGTAACTTATCTTTATATATTTAATATTGCTTTCTAGAAAAGATGATTTATGTTTGTGTTAAATAAAAAAAAATCTGAAATAAAAAAGATGCGTTTAGCTGCGATCGATTACTGATCCATTACTTTCAACAACCCATCCATCACCACCTTGGATGTACAGGAGAGGAGTGGTGATGGTTGGACAGTGGTTCAAAGGGGAAAATCAAGCCAAGCCAGTCATGCTGAGGATGCTCTCTTGAGGGGGTTTCACTCTTGAAGGGTCGTACTTACTTTAAAAAATCAACTAGCGGAAGTGAGTTCATTTTTGTAAAGAATTTAAAACTCAACATATTCTTTAGCAGCCCCCAAAAGGCTACTGACGCTTTATTCGTTGTCTTAAATTAAGAGCTTACATGTGAATTAGATGACTTACTTCTCAGTATATTGCTTGATTTCCCATAGATCTAATTTACTTTCATCAATCCACTCTTCTGTCACTTGAGGTTCTGTGCTTTGCACAGTTTCTTCTCGCTTCCGTTTTCTGAGCCCTGTTCGAAAACTGGTGACTTCTCGAACTGTTTTAGGTAACTCCAGCGGGATGACAACTTTGCGGATAAGATATTGTGTTCGGTCATTGAATTCCCCCAGGTGTCTGTGCTTCAGAATTTCAGTTGTGATAATCTCTGTTTCCGTTGTTGTTTGATGTTTGCCATCATGGTTAAGGGGTGGCTTCACCTGCAGATCATCCCATCTCACACAGGCCCACAGCAGACGAAGTTGAAGTGCAGCTGCTGCAATTGTTTTGAAATTTATTGTTCGGAATAACCAGCAAGTTTTAAATAGTGGTCTTGAGCATGGATAAGGCCACACGGCTTGATTTGGCTGCAACATGAAATTAAATATTGTTTGATTAATAAGAGCGTCTTTTAAATGCAAAGCTTGAGGACAAAGAGAAGAGCCTTTTAGTTTAACTCAGGATAGCCAGGTTTACACACTTATACAAATTTCACATTAGTCCAACAAAGTAAACATCACTTGTGGCAAATATTTAACATACAGCTAGACTTTGGCCCAACCGATTCTACATAAAAAGATGATTTCAGCCCTAAGTCCCCATGAATCCGACCAGAAGGTTTTTGCAGAGTGCTCCAATGAAGAGAGGAATCAGTCCCTTTTTTTTCAAAAATCCACTATGGTGCAAGAGGTGAGCTTAAAGAGATCAGTGTCATAAAAGCAAAGAAAATTGAGTCTACTTATTTCATAAATAATAGTTTTGAACATCAACACAGGTTTCATAAAAGTAAAATTGGAAGATATTAAAAATTTACAGATATTTGACCTGGGTTTTCTTTCTTTATGTCAGCAGGTGAATATGCATCTAAATAGAAGTTTAAGATCACTCTTCTAGCTTTAGTTTGGCATGATATGCGATGGATCTATTTTTAAAATTAACACAGTTAGACAACAAAAACCAGACGGGTTGATGCACAATGTAATTCATTTTGAATCATAAACTGATGATTTGAAGCGGCGCCTGGTTACGATGATTGTCGATTAAGGTGTGACAGACTTTTAACACTCAACATTAATTATTTTAAAGTATGAGTTCTTTTCATAAGTAGTGCCACAGTAGGGTGGCCCAAGTATACATGGCAATACATTTTTTTGGTCTTACCCCTTGAAATTGATTCATTTGATCCAAAAAGACTCTCTACCAAGTTTCAGACAAATCTGATAATATTAACCTGTGTCGACAGAGCCCTCTTTCTTAAATGAGATTTTACATCGGAAAACACTTTCGTTCAGAAAAATAAATTCTCCAGAAAATCGGTAATTTCTAGAAAAAATCTGAGGTTATATTCGGCTTCAGCACGAAAAATTATGTGGGTACAGCCCTATTGGACACCTCAAAAAAATTTTTTACCCCTCGTTTTAGTAGTAAAACATCTGGAAAAGGCTCATGAAGGGCAAATGTCGGTGTTAAATCTCAAATAATTACATGGTTTTGCGTCCGAAAACAAAGCTTAACATATGATAGATGTTCAGATGCACTTTCTTCGAAGTTCGAAAATGCTATCAATTGTTCTCTGTTTCGTCAGGATTTTCCGGAAAGTCGATTTTCTTGTTAAAAACAGGATTTTCCGGGGAAAACTCAATTTACAGGTTTTCAAATTTCACATTTGTCATCATTTTCGGACTCTGCGTAGAAAAACACATCAAATACACTTACAGGGCCGTTTTGTTGGCCTCCTATGGTGTAGTGGTTTTAGAGCTAGCTCTATGATTGGGAGGTCCCGGGTTCAATTCCCGGCCAGGCGACCCCCGTTTTATGGTTGCGTGGGTCTGGTTGACGGGACGGAGGGGGGACGGGACTAAAGCGCAAGGATTAGCCCTCGTGGGATATTTGAAGTGGTTAAAAAAAAAAAAAAAGAATTATGTAAGGCATTTTTGCCAACTTTTTGACTCCTCCCCTCCCCCTGTAAAGCACTGGTAAGAAATCCCTGACCCCCCCTTTTGAATTACGTCAGATTAGCCGCCCCCCCTTTTTCAGAAAAAAATAAAGCCTGGTAAAATAGATGGGATAAGTTTAAGGCTTTTTTAAAGGTATTTTGATGAAAATTCGCAAAAAAAGAAGCAAATAATTGAAATTTAATTTTCAGGGTGTTTACCAGTACAAAAAATTGGCCTCCGGCCAATTTATGCGCGGCGCTTCGCGCCGCGTACCGGCGCTACGCGCCGGCATTTGGGGGGCTTCGCCCCCCCATCCGCTTAGCGGATTGGTGCGGAGACCGCACGGGACTTTCTCGCTCGAGCCGGCGCCTCGCGCCGGCGTAGACACTTTTACTGGAATATTTAGAAAAATACTGCCAATTTTACAAAATCATAAAGTTTGATCGGAATTTTGATCACAGGATAATAGTTATTAAATTTTTATTCAAACCACTGAACTTTATTGTAAATGTCTTCGCGATATGTGATGAATTCATATATTCGGACTCGACTTGTTGATTTTATGAGGCATCTTCAATTAAATATGTAATTGATTAACAAAGTCTCCTGTCAAAGATGGCGATCCGTAAAAATCTTAGCTTTTCTACGATTCATTAGGATCCATTAGATTCATTGACATCATACTTCAGATACGATTTTATATTATAATCTCTCCTTAAGCACGGTCAAAAGCCATCAAATATCTACTTGAATGGGTAGAATGACTATTCGATGTTCAAATAGTCTTAAAACTAAACGGTTTTCGCTTAGCATCTCCCAAATTTTAAATTTGGCGGGCGAATCTACCTGCTGGAAGGTTCACCACTTGCCCGCCAGGAGCGCCATCTCCTTACCGCGTATTCCCGTAATTCAAAGCGAAAACAATAGAGAGCGCTGCGCGCGATCTCCTTGCTGCTGTCGATAAACGCCAACAAACAGGTTATAACAAAACAATTATAACCTCCTTTTTAACAAGCATTAAATCAGTCATATTTGTGCCGAATTATTATATTATATTTGTGCTTAGTATCTCGTAAAAAGGAACCGCAAAAGATGGAATCTGCCGGGATTCTAAATTCATTAACAACAAACATATTAGTTTTTAATAAAGATCTAAGTGTCAGTTCTTGGCGTTAGCTTGATGATTCATTGTACCTTTGTAATGTGAGTATGTACCTAATTAGTTGTCTAATTTTGCTTTGTGTATACCTACGGAGTAATTTTGGAAATAGTATATGATGCATTATATAATGCATTTGAATTCCTAGGTTTCACCTGACTCAAAGCGTTTGCTGCTATTATCTAGAAGCGTTCCGACTCATTTATCAGAGAATTGAGCGTCTCCTATCGGCCCCTCTGCAATTATGAGATTAGTCCAAGAATCCTTTAGGAACTTAAATTAATGACTCAGATGGTGCTTTTGAGCCAACTTTCAAAGAATTAAAGGCATTTTTTTCAAAATCTACAGTCCATGAGCTCTCCGTGTGACCGAAGTGCTCTCCTCGCTATATGACGCGCAACCCTTCAATTTTTAGTTTAGTCCAAAGACCTCATAGGAACTTACATTATTGAACCAGGTGGTGCTCTTATGCCAACTTTCGAAGAAATGAAAGGCATTTTTTTTCAAATTTACAGTCTTTGAAAATGAGTTGTTTGTGGAATGTCGCGGAGCAAAGTGCCCTACTTTTGGGCCTCGTAATCCCTTGAATTTTGAGTTTAGTCCAAAGATCTTTTAGGATCTTAAATTAATGACCCAGGTGATGTGCTTGATGCCCAATTTTAAAGAATTAAAGGCATTTTTTAAAATTTACAGTCCCTCAAAATGAGCTTTCCGTGTGATTTTGCTAAAAATGGACAATTGAGCGTAGCCCCCCCAAATTTTAGCGTACCTCAAAATCGTTGGACGTGCATAAGGAGACCATAGATATGGTGTCCTGTGCCAATTTTGAATGAAATCGAACAGATAGATTCTGAGATATCGCTGTACACAGATTTGGGGGACGCCACACGGACGGACACACATTTTTTCAAGTATGGTTATTTTTACTCCTGGGACCTTCAAACGTCTAGAAATGATGAAATTTCAACTTTTTTTTTTTTTTTTTTCTTGGAGGATGACAATACTTCCTCTCTACCCTATGGGAGCGAGAAAGTAAAAACCAAAATTGGGGACTTTTAGGACTGAATTTTCAGGCAAATCAAGGACTCTTTTTCCCGAAATAGTGAGAGAAAGGGAGTTAGTTAGCCAGTAAGGCAGGATGGTAGCAAAAGTTTGCGGCATGAACAAGTCTTGTTATGAAATGGCAGGGTTTCACAGCTCTCAACGCTGATGAAGTTTGTTTTTGTATTTTTTAAATGAATAGCCTTTTTCTCACAGCAGAGAGCTTATGTAAGACTCTGCTTGACCACCCCCCTCCCACCTTTGTAAGGCCCTGAAAGACAAGCTCTGATCCCCCCNTAAGTACCTTACGTAATACTTGAATGGCCCCTATCACATGTTGATCGTTTATTTTCTGAAAATTGAATTTCCCTCGGGAGAGCCTTTCTTCACGAGAAAATCGATTCTCTGGAAAATTCTAATGAAATAGAAAAAATGGATAGCATTTCCGGACTCAGCGTAAAAAATTATTTTTTTGACAAGTATTTTTATCACAGACCAAATGGAAGTTAGATCATACAAATGATCGTTTGTATTTTTGCCATTTAACCAATGTTGATATAAAGCACTTACATCTTGCTCAGGAGTTGATTTCCAGACTTCCCGTTGTGTGATTTGTTTTCATAGTGAAATGTTAAAGAGGAATTATAAAACATAACTAGCCGTGATTAACTTGCTTCGCGAGCTGATACGCCTAGCCGGGCAGCAACCCTGGACTCCCGGTTCTTCGCTTCGCGATGAACTTGCGACTCGCTCCGCAAACCGCCCGCACTCCACATAATTTTTAACTATTATGAGAATACAACATCTTCGTATTCATCTTATTTCTCACCAAGTTTCACAGAAATCGATGGTCCAGGAGCCAAGACCGCATAGTAGAGCGCGGCCGCCATCTTAGATTTTGAAATGTTGAAAATTTGACCAAAACTTCGAGTTTCCGGTTGAGAAATACCCCCTGATACCGAGTTTCAAAAAAGTCGATGAAACAGAAGCCGAGATAGCATTTTAAACCACGTCCGCTATCTAGGATTTTTGAATTTTGAAAATCGGATCAAGAATTTAAATTTCTCGTCGAAAAATACCCTCCCATGCCGATTTTCATGAAAATCGATGAAAGAGGAACCGAGTTAGCATTTCAGGCCAGGGCTGCCATCTTGGATTTTTGACTTTTGAAAATCTGACAAAAAATTCGAGTTTCAAAACGAGTTTTTTTGTTGAGACGTCTGATTGGACTTTACCCACTAATTTATTGCTGCTAAAGCTGAGTAAGACCTCAGATTTTTTCTAGAAATTACCGATTTGCCGGAAATTGATTTTTCAGGAAAAAGTGTTTTTCAATCTTAAATCTCATGAAAAATAACTAGTCAGTCGGCACGGGTTAATAGTATTTGATTTGGCTGAAATTTTGTAGAATCTTTTTTGATCAAATGGATCATTTTAGGGGGTAAGACTAAAAAAATTCCGACATTGCCAAATTTGGTCCACCCGAGTGCCAAAGTTGCCAGTTTGTAATGTATCTTTTACTTTTTACTACCTTGTACAGGGCACAGTGGGCCAGAAAGTGCCGCTAGCGGTGCTCAATTGATAACTCCTGCTAGATCAGATTTAAAGCTTGAAACATGATGATTCATAGGGTAATTTGATCTGTTCTTTCCAAAGAACCCCGCACAGAGCATGGGTTCGGCGGCTCTCGATGAACGTTGATGAAACTTTGATAGATTGATATAAAGTTCATAATTAAGGGAAATCCAAAAAATTAGCTCACTTTTGCGAGTAGAAGCCGAGATATTCGTAATTGAATCCGGACTATTTTCTATCATGCCGCGGCATGGCGGAAGAGTTCCGAGTCCCCTCTCCTCTCGTTGTTCGGCGTTCTCGATCAGACCTCACGTCACTCACGTGAAGATAGGTGCTTATGCGCTCGGCCAGTGCGAATGCCGTACTCCCTCTCTCTCTCCCCGCATCATGTCACTTCTGTTTCAGCAACTACATTTCAGATTAAACCGGCCGGCGGCGCCGGCACAGGCGAGGTGCGAGAAACAGGGAACTCCATATCGCACAGCTTGGACGGAGCGTCCTGATGAAAGGAGTGAGTGTAAACAATGCGACATCGTAGTTACGTGGTGGGGAGAGGGGGTTTCCTGGCCGAAAGGCTCAAGCAAGGTAAGGCGACACGGAGAATTCACCTCTGCCGCACAGAAAATAGTCCGGGTTCAATCGCGAATATCTAGGCTTCTACTCGCAAAAGTGAGCTAATTTTTTTGCTTTCCTTTAATTATGAACTTTATATCAATCTATTAAAGTTTCATCCACTTTCGTCGAGAGCCGCTGGCCCCATGCTCTGTGCGGGGTTCATTTGTGTCAAAAAAGCCGGCAGAAACGTCTAAATGTACGATTAATGCGTCAGAAGCCAAAGAAATTGCTCAATAAAGAAGAGGGTCTAATAATTCTTATAAAATGAGGTTAAACACAATTATAAATCACAATCATCATAATAAATATGTAATCTCATCATCTAATCTTGAAATTCTATTGCAAGGAGAACATTTTCGCTGTCGCCGATCACAAAAATATTGATTTTTAGCAGCAGGCCACGAGATCAAGGTTGCCCGAAAAATAAGCCTTAAGAAATGCATTTTTCAGAATATAGAGTAGACTAGGAGAGTGTCATTCTAGTTCGTTGCGCTGTTCTCTTAGGTATTTTTAGAAAGCACATATCTCAGAGGTTCTATATACCAAAGCACAAATGATATAAGCCGGTACAACCATTTTTGTCAAATGCTTTCTTGAGATGATCTCCAATTTCCGCGAAAATCAGATACAGAGGTTTTAAGGAACCACAGTACACAGTAAAACGGCCAATGAAATATTTCATTAGTACAAATTCATGTTTTAAGGGTTTTGAAAGTTGTTAATAGCTTTTTTCGTTCTTTCTATACATCAAAGTAGAAAGTGGGGGAGGGGGAGGCCGACCAAAATCAGACTGTCAAAAATTTGTCAAGTTCAACAATTTCCTTAAGCCCCGCAAAAAATGATAATCTTTTTACATAATAATCAAATAAAACCAGTTTTAAACCAGTCTTGCAATGAATATGTAAATTCTACCATCACATGACACCTAAGTTTAGAGTAAGTTTACCCTGACTGACTTCAATATAACAGAAGAAATGTCAACTTAATTACTGAACTGTAATTTATGCAAGCTTGTGTGCTCGATGGTGGTATCTTAGTGGTAAAGGAGGAATCTATACCAAATTCTGCTAATTCGATCAAACGTTAATAATGTTAGTATAAAAGTAATGCAATATTCAGAGCCGACTCATTCACAGCTCAGGATGATGTTACTTACCGAATATATCACATTGCTTATACGATGACATTAGGTATTAAAAGGGGTGTAACGGTAAATTTGGTTAAGTTGTATTGAAAGAAGTCAATATTTATTTATCAGAAGGACTTTAAGAATAGGAGATTACATTAATTAAATCCCAACGGTGAAGTTGACCTTCCATCTGTTATAATGGTGTCAGTCAGGGTTAACTTCCTCTTTTAGGTGCCATGTGACGGTAGACTTTACATACTCGTTGCTAAATTGGTTGAAAACCAGTTTAATTTGGGGCACCTGCGTGAACAGGTGTAAAAATATTATATTTTGGATGTAAATATATTATCATTATTTACTGGGCTCAAGAAAATTGTTAACCTTGAAAAATTGTTGGCTGTCTGATTTTAGTCGGCCTCTCACTCCTTCTCATCCCACCCTGATGTACAGAAAGAGCAAAAAAAGCTATTAACAACTTTAAAAACCCTTAAGACATGAATTTGTATTGATGAAATATTTCATTGACCGTTTTACTGTGCACTGTGGTTCCTTAAAAACCTCTATATCTGATTTTCGCGGAAATTGAAGGTCACCTGGAAAAAGCATTTGACAAATATGGTTGTACCGGTTTGAACCATTCAAGCTTTGCTATAGAATCTCTAGGATGTGTGCTTTCTAAAAATACCTTAGAGAACATATCAACAAACCACTATGGCACTTCCTTAGTCGACACTTTTCTAGAAATGCATTTTTTAAGGCTTATTTTTCTGGCAACTTTGATCTCATTCCCTGCTGCTAAAAATCAATATTATTGGGATCCACGGAAAATAAAATACTCGTCACACAATGGAGTTTACCAGTCAGATGACAATAATAAGGTGAGGTTCACGAGTACACTGTGAAATACGTGAGTTTAAAACCCGCGCCTGAGGTTGTAGAAATCTGGGCTTATTACATTCCACAGGCTGCATATCTCTCAGCGAGGGAACTGCAGATATCATGAATATTTGAGATAATCCCATGTAATTTTGTTATTAGTAGGTATCTGTGCATCGATGAAGACACCTCTGATGACAAAAAAATTTTCGAGAAATAGAATTTTGCGCCGCTACAGTCATAATCTGGCCCATACTGCAGAGGCCGTTGGCGTATTGTTTCAGGCATTCTACACAACTTTTGCGCCCCCACTCCTCTTGTATGGCACTTGTAAGACAGCAATGGAAAATAGTATTTTATTTTTAAAGTGAGAGGCTTCCGTAAGATTGAGATTGACCCTCCTTCTCCTTGTAAGACCCTTCAAGGCAAGTTCAGACCCTCTTCCCCCTTAAGAGACTTAGGTAATACTAGAATGGTCCCCTACGATTTATAGGGTTACCAGAGTTTCTTTCTGTATGGGTGAAAAATGAAAACTGAACAGCCCACGTAAAATGACCTTTCCAATTACGCACTAATGTTCATTTTAAGTCTAGCGATTAATAAATTTCAAGTGAAATAGAAGCTGAAAAATATAAGAACAGCTAACATAGTATATAATGTTCATCTAATCTCTCACAGCAATTCGCACTTTACTCCCCACATAAGATTTTCAATGTTAAGATCCCACTTAAATGAGTGGATACCCTCAAAATACTGATAAAAACAGGATGAATCATCATACTTCCAACTTTACAACATAAATAAAGGGTACCTTGGCAAGATGACTGTAACCTGACACGGGAATGCGCCCAGCATTCCGAGCAACCTTGCGTAGTTCATGCTGTGGTAGAACAAGTAAGCTCTTTTTCTTGCTTTTCGTGTGAAATGTGGAAACAAGAGGGTATTTTACTGCTGCCCGTTTTTTCCTTTTGTCACTGATTGCAGAGGCTATTATCTTTTTCAAATAAATCTGTAAGCAAAATATTCACAAAAAATAAAACACTGAGACAATAATCCTGAATCGGTTTTTTTCTGTAAAAGTGTTTTTTCAAAAATTTGACTTTTTTATAAGTTTACTCAACTGTAATAGATAATCATGTAAAAATTAACAGTGGATGCAAAAGAGAGAGACGGGGAGAGAGAGTGATGCTAGCACTGAGGGGGAGATCCTTCTTCCAACATCAAAATTTAGCCCAAGACATGTATACATTTAAGATTTTTTGCAGATTAGTTTTTAGTTTTTTTATCCCTTTCATTTCGTTTTTTTTTTTTTTTGCAAAATTTGATTCAACGTATGTACGTACGGTAAGCTTGTGCAGTGAGGCCGAAGTAAAGTCATGACTTTTCGAAAAATACTTCTCGTTGTTTTAGCAACTTTTCAAACTATGGACTTCTTATAAAGTTTGCTGGCCAATGGGAATCTTTATTTCACATTATAAGCTGAAATGAAACCCCTTAAGTGATGAATTTTAAATAGAAGAGAAAACAACTGACAATTCTCATTGCCTCCACCATCATGAGAATGTGAATTGGATTTATCTGAATTATTGTATGTGTGCATAAGAATAAAGAAAGAAAAAAATAATCACTTACCTTTTGCCTTGTGTCGGTTTTTGAATAGATGCGGCCTTCTTCTGACGTGACAGTGGTGGAGACAGTGGTTATGTTACTAGTGGACACATTTGAAATTTTACCATTTTCAGATCTAAGTGATGTTGAAACGGTTGTTGTTGTGGTGGCGGTAGTAGAAATGGTTGATGAAATTGTTTTCTTGTCTTCCAATTTGACTAGTCCGCCTTTCAGTGGAGTCAGGGGGCTCTTTAGCACACTAGGAGAATAACAAATTCAGTGATTTAATACAAATAATGATTGTTATAATCTGACAGGATGCATAGATGGAATTTATGATTTCATAAACTTCCAGAAAAAATTAAATTTTCACAAAAATGCAAGCAAGTCATAGTTTCTTAGATTTTATTTTTCAAAACATCCACAAATTGCAGGGAAACTTATAGCAAAGATGAAACATGCAATTATGATGCAAAAAAATAAAGTACCGAAATAGTGGAGGTTTGTGAATTTTGAAGTTTTATTAGGCCATTATTACTTTTTCTTTGGGATGTGGCTAAGGATAAGCAGGCTCATTGCGAGGAGCACATAAAGTACTCCCCCTCTTGATGCGCCAAGATTCCTTGTTGTATCTTGCCTTCTCTTTCCGATGAAATTTTGTGAGAAAGACATTTGAAGAGGAATTAGACAGAAATTTAATTACAAAAAACCCCCGTCATCCCAGTTCAACAGGATCAGCCTCACCCTGGATAAGCGAAACCTCCAGTTGAAAAATGGACCAGAAAACCAGGAAAAATGCACTGTAACCGCTAGCAAACTGAAAAGCAGTAATGTTTGGACTACATTTTGCAATGAGAAACTACTATTTTTTACTTATTTTAAGAGCAACATTAAAGCCATCAGTTTCCCTGTGCAGATATGGACCTTTAAGAATGAGCCAGAGATACTTATTCCTTATTGCAAAATTTTGTTCATTGGATTCTCTACCTTCAATATTTAACAGCCGTTCACAGCATGCCTTCACTGCTAGGCAAGGGGTTCCCTCGCACCCCCGATCACTTGCTTAGCAAATGACTTTACGGCTCGCTTTATAAGGAGGCATCATTGAAGCTTACTTTTTGTAAGAAAAAAATCTTTATGATACAGAAAAAATTTTGTGTTGATCGGAGCTATGCGCCATACTTGAACGCGATTTTCTAACCTCATAATGGCCAAAATGCCACTATAGCCTCCTTTGATGACTAGGCGTGGAGAAACGTAGAGAGAAATATCCGGTTATATCGTCTGACCTCTTTAGTGATCCACTTATCGAAACAATTTTATCACCTTGTTACACATTGGCCATGTTTTAGGTATTCTCTTCTTTTTTTCTTGATTTTAAAGGAGATGATCGACAAAATAAAAATTCAAGGGCGGAGCTTATAAACTGCTGTTTCACAGGATTAAATCAAGTTTAGGAACCATTGACATACATTTTCTATAAGTATATTTAACGCTCTTTTCAATGAATATGACAGTTTTTTTGTCAGATAATCGTGGCTGGAGATATGAAGCAAAGTTTCTCCTAAAATCAGCAAAAATGCGCCTTTTTTTTAAGCTTTTTTTTTTAAGAAAACGTTAATTTTACTATAATAAAATTAGGCTAGATATAACAAGGAAGGGTGATTCCGGTAGGAAACTTTATGTTCTTTCTGCTGGTTTTTTTTCTTCTTTTCTTTTCGTGAGATGAACCGTTGAGGAGATATTTGCAAAAATCTAATCGTGTGTTTTCTCAATTATGAAAAATTCAAAATGGCGGCGTCCTGAGCAACAGACAATTTTCCTGAAGTTAATATGGGCATTTTCGGACTTCTTTAGCACCTATGAATCGAAAAAAATTGGTTTGGTTCGAAGGATAAAACCCATGTTGAGCAGTATAGTGTGTGCCAAAATGGGCAATTAGGGCTTTTTGAGGTTGGAAAACGGCACATTCGGGTGTTGCGCACCACTCTGATCAACACGAAATTTTGACTCAAGGTACTTAAGTGGATCACTTAAGAGGTCAGACGATAAAACCGGATAATTCTCTCTACGTTTCTCCACGCCTAGTAGTCATCAAAGGAGGCTATGGTGGCATTTTGAGGTTAGAGAATCGCGTTTTTAAGTATGGCGCACCACTACGATCAACACGAAATTTTTTCTGTATCTTATTGGATATATATTGTAAGAAGAGTTTGTTTGTGTCGTTTCCATACGTCACCTGGCCGCGAAAAAAGGAAAAAAATGATGTTTTCTTAAAATTTTACGAATTTTTTTAGAAGCTAAAATATTATCCAATGAGAATGATTTTTTTCTTATAAATAGTGAGCTAATTGATGTAGATTCTGACATATTTTGGTTCAATTCTATCGAAAATTACGAAAGTTGTAAGGAAAAGACGTTATAACAGTCAAAAGTTGCTCAAAAAAACGGTTTTTGGGGGTCTGAGGAGGGAGGGGTGGAGGGGGTTGGGGGGTTAAAATCCCCCAAATCCTAAGTTTTAGGACACCCTTGATGACTTAAAATGGTTAAAATAAAAATCCATTCAGGAGGGCATTTTGACGTGCTTATCCTGGGATACCCTTCTAACAGGAAAACGAATCACACGACAAGAAGTCTGAAAGTCAACTCGTAAAAAAGATATGAGTGTTTAAAATAAAAGTTTATTTTACAGTTACAATTAACGTTAGTCAAATGGCAAAAATACAAACCAAATCCTTTGGATAATCTAGCTCCCATTTGATCTGATTAAAAGATACTTGTTAATAAGTGGTTTGTTGATCTCCTAACTTCCCTTCGTGTGAATCGTTTTCTACGTAAGGTTTTAAGGACAAAATAGGAGACAGCTTTTTTTAGTCCAGACTTTATGCAGAGGCTCATTACAACTATATTCATCTTTGATATTGCTCTCACACAATTGCTACATCTGTATATTTGGCTTCCTTGTCTTCTTGAATCACTTGATATTCAACGTTATTATGACACCAGCGAAACAAAAAATGCTCCTGTAGTTTAAAACTTCAAAAATGGCTTAAAACATTGATAAATGAGCAAAAAATAATTGAATAAAAATTACCCGGATGTAACAGGAACAATGGAACTATTCAGACTGCTTTCCCTGATTGCAGATGCTGTATTAGAGACTGTTGTTGTTTCCGTTGTCACAGATGTTACTGTATGTGTAGTAATAACATTGCATTCAGTAGTGACGTTCATCACATCAATTTGTTCATCTTCACTTGAATGTTTGGTCTCATGCACTTCGATGTCTTCCTTTGGGACTGCAACTACTTTAAATGGGGTAGAACTTGCAACAGATAAGGGGAAGTCATTTGAAACATTCAAGCAGTGGTTAATTTGTTTTTCATCCTTGGTTGATCCACTCTCCAGGATGGACTCATTTGGGCATACTGTAAGGTCAGGAGCAGTTAGGGTTGTATTCACACTTCCCTCTGTTGTTGTATCTAGTGGCTCGATACCAGTGAGAGTATTATGAGTGATTTCTGCAGCGGTTGCATTTACTGATTGAGTTTCATCGATGACAACTTCATTTTCAACTGCTGAAGTCTCTACTACAGTTTCAACGGGTTCTATTTTAATTTCAGATTCTTCCATTTTAATGTCTATTGAGGTGGGTTCTACGCTGTCCTCCACTTTAACGATTGTTTGGACTTCTGTCTCAATGGCACCAGTTGAATTTTCAGGGAGTCGAGTCGAGTTGGATTTTTCTCCTAACGTTTCTCTAGTTACTGAAAGTTGTTCAATCAAAGAAACAGATGAAAATTCAGACTTTGCCGAAGCAACTGATGACTCTTGAATTTCATGATCAGACTTTTCTGTCTTCTCCTCGTCATCCTTCTTTCCAGCTTTATCTACATTCCAGCTCCCGCTTGAAACTTCAGGTTGATTTTTATCTTCAGTTTTAGCTTTGTTTTCAACTGAATCTGGAGGCTCTTTTTCAGAAAAATTCTCGATTTTTTCTATATTTTTATTTAAATTTCCTGTCTTATCTGAATCATTTGTTAAAACTGAGTCGTCAGTTTTGTTGATAACTTCTGCTTGATCTATGATTTTAGCTTTATCCCCACAACTACCTCCACTAGAACTCTCTTGTCCAGTTTCATTTTTTTCAGATGTAGATGTGGGAGTGTTGGATACTACACTTTCTGGTGCAATCATTCTTACTTCTTCTTTAGCTTCATTCTTGCGAACACCGCTTGGTTTTAATTGTGTCAGAGGAATTAACTGACTACTACTGATTGTTGAACTTGTAGCAGCAGCAGGAGAATCTGAAATAAAAGAACAATTTTCTGTGAAAATATTCTGGCCCATTAGAAATATTTATTCACATGAAGAAAATGACTGAGAGAATGAAGAAGAATGAAGCTGAATGAGAGAAGTTGACAAGTAGTTATTTTCAACACGACCATAGTTGGTCACAGATTTTAAGATTCATGAAACTTGTCAATCAAACAGCCTATCTTAATTCCATGTTCCTTGGAATATGGCACCTCACTTGAAGCATTTCAATTAAAGGAGATTCAGCTTTCAAACATCCACTCTCTTCACCCATAACAAGAAAATTTAAAGCACAAGCCATGATGGGCCAAAAAGTAAATTCAGGTATCCACCTTTTCTGAGCTCCGAGTTGAAGCCCCTCAAAGTTTGGGCCCGAAGAACCAATTTTTCTTTCTTATAACGACAGTTGTGAACGAAAAAGCATAATATTAGCTTGTCTACTTTGGTGTAGACAGTGAACACAAAGGTCTATGAAGTTCCCTGCTTTCCACATTTTGCATGATCTGAGAAAGTGCTTCCCCAAATTGTGATTATCATTTCATTAAGGGGGAGGAGGGATTTTAAAATGGTGGTAAAAAGGGTTTAATCAATGCTTATTTTACCATTTCTATGGTAAACAAATTTTGCGCAAGCTTGGCTAATGTGATAAGGAAAAAAACTGAAATCGTATTTTCAGGAGGGTTTGGATTTTTGAGTGGCTGAAATTTATGTCTTCATTGAAGTAATTGAAAAATAAATGGTACCACCATAGAGTTGCTAAAAAATCTTTGAAGTAGGTTTGTAGCGTTTTTCTCTCCAAGCCGCTCCAGCAGTTTCCGCCAGGTGATACCCATTTCATCCCCTGTTTGATTGATAATACATGGTCTAGCGCACTGTGCATATTTCAGCTCAGAAAAAGAGAAAATGAAATTTCCCGAAATTTCAGCTTTGCTCCTTCGATCAATTTTCTCAGAGGAACAGTTTATGTTGCAGGCTGTAATTTCATGAATTAGCATTTTCTCTTTTTCTTCAGCTGACGTGCCACTCAAAAATCCGAGATCCCACTTGAAATATAAATTCAGTTAATTAGAAGTCCGAAAAGGATACGTGCAAAACGGGCCACTGGGGGCTTGCAGCATATACCTTTGGGACTTGCCTTATTCATTCACCAAACAATGCCCCATCTTTTCCCACAGTTTCAAGCCCCCCAAAAATTTTGGGGAGACGTGGCGGGGGGTCAAAGTTAAAAACTGGCATAATTTTCGCAAATTTATTACTCAAAAGCAAAGAAGTTTTGGAAAATGCGGTTTGAACGAGCGTATTCAGCGTGACGAGAGCTTTCAGAAGATGTACCGGGTGTCCGTAACGTAACTGAAAAGTGGGTATAATTTTCGAACAAAAAAAGATAGAAGGTCGCGGTTTGAGGCATTCTTCATCATCCTAAGGGGGAAATTTTTCGATAGGGGGTTTTTCCTAGTGGACCCCCCTGGGGGGGGCCCCAGGGGGGGCAACTCCAAAAATTCAACTGGCAACCCCCATTTTTTTAGGCATGGTTAAAAAGAACTTAAAAAGACAAGAATAATGGCGCAAATAAAATTAAAATCGGTTTTTCCGTTCAAAAGTTACAGCCGGTCAAAATTTTAAATTGACCACTTTTCAAAAAATCGCCGATGAGCTCCAAGTTATCGAAAAAATAAAAACAAACTTGGAATGAAAAGTTTGAAAAGTGCTTTTTAGGAAAAGGAATAACAACTGACGTTATCACAAGTCTGGATGACACTGTTTCAAAATAAAATTTCGGAAAATCCAACATGGCGGCAAATTTGAGGAAACTCAAAAAATGAAAATTCCAGAAACTATTATCTTTCAAATACCCTCTAGTTTAAGGAAATCAAAGGTTTCAACTTTTATTCCTTTATTTGGCCAAGTAAGAGCAATAAGTTGCTGACTTAAAAGTTGTCAAGCGGGGCGCCTTCAATCGTTGGAGTATGCGACATCACAGGATTAAGTGTGCTGTCAAAAAATGAAGCCGATGTGAAAAAGCTCTTGGCGAGCCAAAAAAACATGATTTATCCTGATAGGGTAGGAGCGGTTGACATTTTTGACATTTCCCTCTGTGAAAATTAAAAATCCAAGAATAATTTTGATTTTCTAACTCCTGGCACTCCAAGTTGGCAAGGAGGATATCTGCTACGCTTCCAATTCCGAAAACGCCGTTCTACTCTTGATTATAATCATTATCTGAATTGAGATTGTCTTATTGACAGTCTAAACCTTACGATTTGAGACACCAATCTTTTCGGTAACATATCTGATGCACTATCTGATAGGTGACACTATTTACGAAGCTAAAATCAGTATGCTAAGTTCCCTTGATCATACTGCGTTCTGATTAAGTTTGCAATTATCCGAGTATTCTCGATTTACAGTAAAACTACTGTTTCCATTTTCCACCGGATTTTTGTTTGTTTTAAACTTGGTATCTAGTCATTTGACAAATGAAGTTGTAAAATATTAATTTGTTTTACTTGATAGGGCTTAATTTTGCTGGTGTCTAGCTTTGCTTCTGCTTACTATTGCGCGCTTTAGTAACTATTCATTTATTTTTTTGAAATGAAATTAACACAGGAGCTGCGTGTGCAAATAATATTAATGAACGGAGCTACGAATTCTGTATCAGACACAATGCAAAAAAAAAAAAAAAAAAATTAATAAAAAATAAATTGCCAAATTTTACTTTTCTTCTTTTTTATCATTAAATTTGAGGAGGAGGACCTTGAACATTTCTAAAGCATCCCAAAGGAGGAGAGCTTTTTCACATCGGCTTCATTTTTTGACAGCACACTTAATCCTGTGATGTCGCATACTCCAACGATTGAAGGCGCCCCGCTTGACAACTTTTAAGTCAGCAACTTATTGCTCTTACTTGGCCAAATAAAGGAATAAAAGTTGAAACCTTTGATTTCCTTAAACTAGAGGGTATTTGAAAGATAACAGTTTCTGGAATTTTCATTTTTTGCGTTTCCTCAAATTTGCCGCCATGTTGGATTTTCCGAAATTTTATTTTGAAACAGTGTCATCCAGACTTGTGATAACGTCAGTTGTTATTCCTTTTCCTAAAAAGCACTTTTCAAACTTTTCATTCCAAGTTTGTTTTTATTTTTTCGATAACTTGGAGCTCATCGGCGATTTTTTGAAAAGTGGTCAATTTAAAATTTTGACCGGCTGTAACTTTTGAACGGAAAAACCGATTTTAATTTTATTTGCGCCATTATTCTTGTCTTTTTAAGTTCTTTTTAACCATGCCTAAAAAAATGGGGGTTGCCAGTTGAATTTTTGGAGTTGCCCCCCCTGTGGCCCCCCCCACGGGGATCCACTAGGAAAAACCCCCTATCGAAAAATTTCCCCCTTAGGATGATGAAGAATGCCACAAACCGCGACCTTCTATCTTTTTTTGTTCGAAAATTATACCCACTTTTCAGTTACTTTACGGACACCCGGTATAACATCATAGGGTTTCGTCAACTTTAGCTCGAGTTATCGCCTCCGAAGCGCCGGAACGCTAAAAACAGACCCCTAATTTTTTCACGGCTGAGAACGGCCTGATGGGCGTTTTCGCTGATGATATAGCTGCCTTGGAGAGGGATAAGGACCTCCCCGAAGCCACTGGTAAACTTCAACGATCGGTGAACAGGATTGTGGACTGGGCTTGGGACTGGAGAATTTCTCTTAGTTGTCCCAAATGTCTACACATGCTGTTTACCAATCGGAAAGTTGGCTACCTCCCGATAACGATAGGCGGCGATCCGGTGCCGTTCACGGATAATGCGCCTTATCTATGGGTAACATTAGACTCTAAATTAAGATGGAAACATCACGTTAAAAAGAAACGCCAACAATTAAACATCAAATACAAAAAAATGTACTGGCTTTTGGGGAGGAATTCGGCCCTCTCCACAGGTAACAAAGTATTACTTTATAAACAAGTGTTGCGCCCAGTATGGATGTACGCGTGTGAGCTATGGGGATGCACCCGGAAATCGAATCGGTACCTTGTGGAAGCTTTCCAAAGCAAGGTACTGAGGCAGATTGCCGGGGCCCCATGGTTTGTTACGAATGAGCAAATTAGAGAGGAGTTGAAAGTGGAATCAGTAACAGAAATAATTGAGAGAGCGGCTGTGCATCATCACACAAGACTGGACGCACACCCTAACCCGCTTGCTCAAAGTGCATTCAGTGACAATCCCAGCAGGAGGCTGCGAAGGGTAAAGCCCTTCGACTTGGCCACAGGGGTGTTGCATTAAAGCAGTAACCATGGTCTTCCTAATTTAATTAAAAATCACTATTGTGTGTGTAGTGCCACTTTACAGTTGGAGTCCATGATAACGATGGCCCCAGCTGTAAAACAGTTAGACAATTGTTCATTATGGAATCTGAGTCCATATTCTTGTAATTTTTTTTTTTTTTTTTTATATATATATATATTCTTGCAGTATGTATGTTGTGTGTGAATGAAGGAGTTGTAAAGAATTGTTTCAAGAAGCGAAGGTAAAGGTTTGAATGTTACTTATCAAGTTAAAAACAAAATCTTATAACATTAGTTTTAAGTTTAGCTGTAAGCACAAATTACCTACAATGTAATTAATGCCACATAAGGGGCAGTCGTACAATTTTTTCTTAATAAAAAAAAAAAAAAAATTTTTTTTCACGTTAAGACCGATTTAAAAAAAAGCCATTTTTTTATTTTGATGAGAAATTGATATGTTGTTCCTGACTCTCTGTAGCACCTCTAGCTCTTTACCGCATGCTTGGGAAATGTTTTGGTCGCGAGTTATAAGTGCGGAAAGGAGCGAAGGTCGGAAAAAAGGCTACTTTAAACTGCGCGCGCAGCGTTGATTGGAAGGAGAACGTCCCCTCCCACTCAGTTCGGCGAATCACAGTCCTCGGTCAAACTTGCATTGTTGCCGCATGTCTCCTGGTCCGTCGCCGCGCGCAGTTTTAAGTAGTTGATTTTCCCGACCTTCGCTCCTTTCTGCTCTTACATCTCGCGACCAAAACATTTCCCCCGCATGCGGTAAAGAGCTAGGGGGGCTACAAAGAGTCAGGAACAACATATCAGTTTTACATCAAAATAAAAAAATGTTTTTTTTTTAAATAGGCCCGAACGTGAAAAAATAAGGGGTCTTTTTTGAGCGTTCCGGCGCTTCGGAGGCGATAACTCGAGCTAAAGTTGACGAAACCCTATGATGTTAATGATGTTATACATCTTCTGAAAGCTCTCGTCACGCTGAATACGCTCGTTAAAACCGCATTTTCCAAAACTTCTTTGTTTTTGAGTAATACATTTGCGAAAATTATGCCAGTTTTTAACTTTGACCCCCCGCCGCGTCTCCCCAAAATTTTTGGGGGGCTTGAAACTTTGGGAAAAGATGGGGCATTGTTTGGTGAATGAATAGGGCAAGTCCCAAAGGTATCTGCCGCAAGCCCCAAATGGCCCGTTTTGCACGTATCCTTTTCTGACCTCTAATAATCTGAATTTATATTTTAAGTGGGATCCTGGATTTTTGAGTGGCACAAATTTATGTCCGTGTTGAAATAATTGAAAAATAAATGGAACCTCCGTAAAGTTGCTGAGAACACCTTCAAATTATGTGTGAAGTATTTCTTCCCTCGGACACTTTGTTTTCAATGAATTGCGTCTAACCAGACAATTCATGATTTAAAGGGGGTAGGAACGGTAGTGGCTCACACCAGTGACAACCATTACATCCTCTTGTTTTAACTTGATGATGCATGGCGCAAATTTCAGCTGAAGAAAAAGAGAAAATGCTAATTCATGAAATTTCAGCCTGCAACATAAACTGCTCCTCTGAGAAAATTGATCAACGGAGCAAATCTGAAATTTCGGGAAATTTCATTTTCTCTTTTTCTGAACTGAAATATGCACAGAGCGCTAGACCATGTTTAGGGAATTAGATGAGTTACATACTTGCTTCAACCTCAGATTCTGATTTTGGTCTGATCACAATGGAACCTCCTTTGGTTGCTCCTACAGCATTATGCTTAGCTGCCGTTACTTCTTTCAGGAGTGAAATGAGCTCTTGTTGTAAGCGGTACGTGTGGGCACAGATCGGGGAGTAGCAGTTGGCTAGGCTGCTTGGTGAACATGCAGTTGAGTAGCATCTCATGACTGATGAAATCTTCTTCAATGACTCATATTCTGCTTTTAGGATTTTTATCTTCTTTGCAATAGCCAAAATTCGCTCATTTTTTAAGGTGCCACTTGAGTCAGGTTTACCGCTGACTGCCTTGATTATTTTTGCTTCAGCTTTAGTAGACATCTAAAATAAACAAAGAAATCAATTATTTGAATACAGCACATGGCGAAATTACTTAAATTTATGTATTCTAATGAAATCAACCTGTGCGACACCTGCGTTTGAACATGGACTTTGGAAGCTCATAACAAATATGTGCTTAACGACTTTGATAGTACATTTTTAGTGCTTCGGAACAAGAGAATGTTAAGGTGACATTTGTACTACAAACCTCCTTTTGCATGCCATGGTATTACTGCAAGAAAGGAGGGGAACTGAGCTGTAAAAACAGTCAGCAGAACTGAGTGCATTATTACCGATGCTGTTTCAAGAACCTAATGTGGTAGATGTCACCATTTCAGAATTTTATCCATCAGAGGAAATACAAGGAACCGATGGAGGATTTCAATGATGAGTCTGCAGAAATGCGTATCTCGGTTTGCAGCGTTGCTGACTTCTTGTCATCCTTTATTTTCTACACAACAAACTATGGGACATCAGATAATGAAAATTTCAATGATTTTTCTTCCCTTTATAAAAAAATTCTGTGAAAACTTCTAGCCACGATGTTGGTTCAGTCTCTTTGTTAAAACAAAATATGAGCGGAAATTTCGAAACACCGCAGCCATTTTGTTTCATTTTGAACGTCATTGACAAGCTTTTGAAAATATCATTAAAAAAATAGGAACCAAGCATCGACAGCTTCTACACGTATCCGTGTCCTCCTCCTTTCACACATTCTCCAAGGAGACGAATGAGTCAAATTGAAAAATTTCGCTGGTAATCGATCCCTCCCCAAAAAGTCCCTCTAATCATTAAATGGCACAAATACCCCCCCCCTCCCACTCGAGGGTGAGCAAAAAGACATCAAGTCTTGAATTTCAAAATTATACATACAGGAAACGTTCTGTCTTGGTATTAGACTATTGCGAGCCATAGTACTCTCTGGCTAATTAGTTTCTAGATGAAATGTTTTGGACCCTCATGCATGCCTTTAAAAAGGCTAAAAGTATGATTGCTGTTAATTTGGACTGGTATATTATATTTATTACAACGATTTTATCAATTTTTTTAAAGACTTGGCAAACGCTTGTGAAATCAGTTATTAGATTTAAGGGACCATTTTTATAATCGATGAAGAGAAAATACTAGTTTTCAGGATGGGAAGGGAGTTATTTCCATTTATAAGATCGTAGTTAGGCAGAATCGCTCGAAATCTTTGCGATTTTGGTTACTTTCTTACGTGACAGGGCAAGTATGTCAAATATTGTGCCTTCATTTTTGAATGTTTCTTTTCACAGTACGTAAGGAGAGCATGAGAATTATTTTGCCAAAGGATGTTTTAGGGCCTCCAAAAAACCTATACCAAGGTAGAAAAACCCGATTTCTGACGACTTAAACTTTACTCTCCAGATTTTCAACTCAATTTGTAACCCAGGACTCATAATAATCCATAAAAAAGATCCTTTGATAATTGGAGGCTCTATTTTTGCGTCCTGCCCAATTCTCTCAAAAAAAAATATGGAGAATCGCTGGAAAGTCGAGAAGAATTGTGGAATGAGTTCATTACTTAATCGGATGTCAATATTTATGTGTAGCCTTACTTTTTAATTCTTTGGTCCTGATTTTCTTAGTTAACAAACGACGATCATCATTCCGGACCTTGTGGGTTCATCTTCAAGTCAAATAGCGATCGCAAGACGCGAACTTGTTGCGGAAATAAAAATAGAAATAAATACGTTACTGCACCAAACCACGTTATCAGCGCGTATCTGTTTATCCGCGCGTGCTCGTGATTCCAACTTCCTGAGTTCCAGCAAGGAGGGGGGGAAAAACAGGTGTGCCACTTGACTTTCTGCTTAGATGTTTAATAATTTACCAATTTCTTTTCTTTTTTCGATTTCCTGCTGTTCTAGGATGTTCATTATTCTGCCTTTTTTGCAATTTCTTAGAACGTTAATTTTACATTTGTCTACTTGATGTTTAGTAGAAATCAGGTGATCACTAAGTTGTTTAGATTTGTTAAAATTTACTTTTGATAAGGCCATTTTAAATGAAATCTGAAGGATTTTGACCAAGGCCTTAGATGAGATTAAGTAGTTAATAAGTATGGTACATACCAAAATTAACTCAGTCCGAAGCTTTTCGTGCTGTTGCACATCGTCAGGGAAAGAAATTTAAAGAAACATGATAAAACTAAAAGATGGGAAACATAACGGAAATAGATAAATTAAATAAGAAGATAACGAAAGCACCTGAGACAAGCACACACTCTCAATACCCTACTGTTATTCCTAGTTACTAGAATTGGACGTTAAGGGGCAGCAGTGGTTGATTAAAGGATTTGAATTTGCCGTGTCTATTTTAATTTGAATATTTAATAGATCATTGTCATTTTCTTTTCTAGCTTCAACAATTTCATATTATTCAAGTGCAATGATCATTTCCTCATCTTTGCATTTATGAAGGGCGGAGGAATTTTTATCAATATTATCAATTTTATCGTCAATCACAAAGTGATGATGGGCCCTTCTTTCCTCATCTTGCATGGGCAGTATGTTCCTTGACTTTTATCCCCACTGCACTTCCAGTTTGACCGACACAATAATTCCCACATTGGCATTCAATTATATGTATGCCACTATCTTTGAGTTCATCCTTGTTTTTGGTTTTTTTATTTATTAATTGTCTCCCAAAGTTCTTCTGATTACTGAAAGTGACCCAGGATTTCTCTAGTTTTTGGAAGATTCTGCTTATCTTCTTGAATACTATTCCTGTGTACGGAATGGCCATCCAATTTTTGTCTGTGTTGGTAGTTCCGGTACCTTTGAAAATAAGCGCATTAACATTCTTATCTCTTTTTCGTTTTATTAATCTGTTGACCATTTTTTGGTTGTACCCATTATTCATTGATATTTTTTTTATGGCTTTTGATTTTTTCATGTAATTAGTTTTTTTTAAGGAGATATTGAGGAGTCCGTTGATCATGCTGTGGAAGGCTGACAGCTTGTGTTTCTAACTGTAACATGACTTCTACGGGATTACTACGTCTGTGCTACTTTCTTTTCTGAAAAAAATGAATTCTAGATTGTTCCTTTTTGTATGGATGGATAGGTCTGGGAAGTTGAGATTTTTATTGCCCACTTCTATTTTAAACTTAATGTTTGGGTCTAATTGGTTTATTTCCAACAGTAATTTTTGGCGTTCTCTGTTAGTGCCAATCCATATCAAGAAAATATCATCAACATAACGGTGATACGTTCTTATTTCCTTTTGCCAGTTTTGATTGCCAGTTCTTTTGTCAAATTTATCTAAATAGATGTCTGAGAGTAATGGTGACATGGGGGCTTCCATAACTAATCCCCTTCCTAGCTGGTAAATTTTATCATTGTACTGAAAATAGTTGTTTTTTCATTGTGAATTCCGTTAACTCTAGGTATTGCTTAATTTCAGACTTAGAACGTTTAGAGTGTTTTTTTCATAATTTGACGCTACAGTTTGGGCTCTGTTTACATTTGTATATATATCACTGACATCTACAGATATTAGTATGGCATCGTCAGGCAGTTCTAGGTCTTCGATTTTGTTGACTAAATCTAAGGAGTTTTTAACCGTATTTGTGGGCATCTATGAAACATTTTTCTTTAATAGGTTAAAGAGGAATTTTTCTACCTTATATGTTGGTGCTTGGCATTTTGAGACAACTGGGCGAATAGGAATGTCTTTGATGTTTACTTCTCCATTGGCTGTGTGTTTCAATATAGCCGTGGAAGATGGGTGGTTGTGGGATGTCTTTAATGTTAACTTCTCCATTGGCTGTATGTTTCAATATAGCCGTGGAAGATGAGTGGTTGTGAGTTCGTTTGCACTAGACTTGTGGGGTTTCCTGGCAGGGTTTAGTTACGTAGGAATTCTTTTAGGGTATGATTTATTTCCTTAGTGGGATCCTCCCATATTTCTCTCAGGTCATCTGTTTTTAGGAAATCTTCTAATTTCTCGCCGTAGCTTATTTCCTCAATGAGTACACGTCTCGCAATCGCTATTTGACCTGAATATGGACCCATACGGTCCGAAATGATCATCAACGTTTTTTAACTAAAGACATCAGGACCGAAGAATTAAAAGGTAAGTGCACACATGAAGATAAGAATCTTCTTTTTCACCCTGCTAGGGACTCTTCAGAGACACAAAAATATCTCTCCTCAAAATTATTCTAATTCTCTCTTCATCTATTAAAAGGCGAGTCTCTGGAAGTTAAGGGTCAAATTTTTGCTACTTTGTCAAGTCACTTAAAACAATTGATTCAAAACCAGAGACTCTTTCCATGGTAGATTAGGAGAGTATAGGAATTATTTTGTCAGAGGAAGTGTTTGTAACTTGGAGGTGGGTATGAAAACACGATTTTCAACGACTTTACAGCCGTTTTCAACAACAGGTTAGAGTGACATGGCAAGGCAGCAAAAATTTGACCCTTAAAGTCGTAATAAAAGTAAGTTCAGTCTCCAAAAAAGAGAGCTCTAGCCAATTTATACCATGTTTAAAAAGTGCGATGGAATTTGCAAAAAAAGATTCAATTAAGAGATTTTATTACACAAATTGTAAAAACGGCACCCTCCAAAGAGTGCAATGGCTCACGTTAGTTTGATACCATGACGCAGTCTTTCCCCTACACATGAGGACTTAGATGAAACAATAGCAGTCGCTGAAATCCGCCATTTTTGGGGAAAACGCTTTTTTTGAATTCTGGGGCCCTCATGAATGCCTGAGCAAAACTTCCGGCGCAATTTTTCAGCCAAATATGAACTGAAATCTATGTTATTTGTAAAAACAGCGGATACGAGAATCTATTGTTCTCCTTGGCCGGTGCGGCAGGACACCCTGGAGATTTGGATGCACTTGCGATAACTGCCCGCGCATCGGCCATGGGCTGAAGCTGACACTCAAATGATACGTAAAGCAGTGACGTGGCATTCTTTGCGATACATCGATTGATCGGCCATTTAAACCTATGGAAAAGTATCAAT